CATACCCTTGCTTTCGCGGTGATCATGAAAATGTTGATGATCAGTGTATTCGGGAAAGTACGAGGCTGTTCGCTAGGATTGAAACTGTTTCATCAACAAGCCGTCAATGGTGGAGCTGGTGGAGCTAGCGGAGCTATTGATCTGCTGAACACTTGCTACTTTGAACTACGATAGCGTAGAGCGTGAGTATCGTCTGCTTCTCTGTACGTCACCCAATTCCCGGAAATCGTCTGCCGACCTCTGTTTGGTATTTCCCGCCAAAAATAACTCGGCTAATAATCTCGTATTTAACGGCAGGTGTTTGCCTGGACCCGTCAGTGTGTATTTTGGTACATTTCAACAGAGTTGCTTTACAATTACCGTCACAACAGTGAAAATATACAGCGCTTAAACTTGAAAAATGCAGTTAGCGTGGCCTTGCGTAGCATGTAGCATTATTCCAGCAATATCACGACAAGGGGGACCAGATACGGGATGTAAACATTATCCCCAAGTGGGGAATCGAACCCGGGCTTTCGGCGTAATCAGCGGTCACTTTTACAACTAAGCTACCTCACCGCCCCGGATATTTCCTGATATTATTTTAAAATTATTTCTCGCCCTCGCCTGTTATATATACTGCCATTGTGAATGAAACACCACCTGGTCTTGGTTTGCGATAGGGTAATTGTCTGAACTAGGCTAATTGGTTGACCTGTTGTATCTGCAATATCACGGATCCATCAGTGTCATCTTGTCAACATGTGTGTTTTACTGTATCGCTATCCAGTTGTTAATGTGATGCTGATGTGTAGACAGAGGGGTTATTCACTTTGATGCGTTGTATTGATTCATCACAGCTGTACCCATTAAAACTCATTCACTCACTGAATCACAGATACGACCTAGCACTCACTCACTCACTCACTTAGTGGTTACAGCGTTCGCTCGTCACGCCGAAGATCCGGGTTCGATTTCCGACATGGGTACAATGTGTGAAGCCCATTTCTGGTGTCCCCCGCCGTGATATTGCTGGAATATTGCTAAAAGCAGAGTAAAACCACACTCACTCATTCACTCACTCGAGCTCACTTACTCACTCACTCACACTTGTTTAAGGCGCCGGAATTCGCTGTGCAGAGTTGCGCCCCTTAGGCGTACCAGAAAGCTATGATTGTGGGTTCGATTCCGTCCAAGTCCTCTACCACATCGGGGTTCCTCTATGTTAAGCTGACATGTCGTGATAGAACAGAAAGACCGTCCATAGGGACGCTAAAACAAATCCCCCCTCTCACCCACTCTCTGCACAAGACAAATAGAACTAGAAACCATTTTATCCTCATCAGTTAATTTTACTGAATAATCACAATTATTTTGACGCTTTCTGAGCATAATGAATATGACCCCATGGCAATAGTAAAAAATGTTATTCAAGAAATTGATTTTTCAATACATCAAGCTGTTCTGCCTTGATTGAATGTATGGCATACCCAGTTGTTTGTTCAACTATCGCCATCAACAGTAACAATTGAAGGACAGTGAGTGAGTTTGGTTTGATTTGAACTGTATTCCAGTTATATCACGGCGTGTCAGCTTGATGTGGGAGGTAAGCCCGAGGTGATGTAGGCCTCAGACGGTCACCACTTTGGTGAAACCCACGAGCATGGGTATGGTGCTGACATAAACATAATCGGGGCGACTCGGGATTCGAAACCACGATCATATCTATCTGGCGTGCCCAAGGGATGCAACTTCGACAGAGAATTGCGGTGCTTTGGACGGCTAGGCCACCCGTGCCCCCTTTCCTCTGTAAGTGGTGAGATTAGTTTGTTTGATATACTCGTTCAACTATCTCACCACGACGTAACATTTAGCGTTGTCTGAGAATGTCTTTTAGAAAGTGGATTTTAAAGCTTTTGTTCCGGGAAATATCATTGGTATGTACGTCGTATGGTACCCTCGTCGCTGACGTCTAAAATGTTCACAATCTTTCAAAGAAATATTTTCCATAACATATCGATCTGACTATCTCCTGGAGTCTGCAACTGCACCTATATACTCTTGTATTCCGTGCTGAGAATAGGTTCGGTGCTCGTGTACCTGGCAGATATGTCAAAGTGTAAGAATATTCGATGCTCGTGTACCAGGCGGATATGTCAAAGTGTAAGAATAGGTTCGGTGCTCGTGTACCAGACGGATATGTCAAAGTGTAAGAATAGGTTCGGTGCTGGTGTACCTGGCGGATATGTCAAAGTGTAAGAATGGGTTCGGTGCTTGAGTACCTGGCGGATATGTCAAAGTGTAAGAATGGGTTCGGTGCTTGAGTACCTGGCGGATATGGTGTCTGAGCAGAGTGAAGATCATACAGGAGACTGAAGGGTATGAACTAGCCTTGCTCCAAGGCTGTTCTCAAAGAAAAGTCCATGAATGTGAAGTAATTGTATCCTCTTAACAGGCAAGTCTAGATATGTCTAATAGGGATAACTTTTTTTATTATTTACAAAATGATTTCAACTAATGATTATTGCCTTAGAGACTTGTGCAAGTCTAGGTATAGACATACTTCAGCATTCGCACCCTTCGTATGACCTTATAGCCGCATAAGCTGGTGCTCTTATATACTCATTAGTATTTATGCACCGTCAGAAATAGGCGTGTCCTCGTCCTGGCCCAAGATACCCGATGACCTGACACACAGTGATATGCTGCCGAACTGCGCCCAGACTTGCCACAGATTACATGGTCTACATTTTATTGTCGTCAGTGCGAAACCAACAGGTGGCCAGAACATGAACTAGGTTGACCAAGTATCTCAACACAAAAATTTAAAGGCACCTTTCTTTTTTGAAAATAATAATTCATATATGTCATTAAAACAGCGCTCAAATCCAAAACAAAATATGCATATATATTTTTCATAATCACTTTATCATTGGCCAAAGGCACCTTTCTTTTTTCAAAATATTATTTCATATATGTCATTAAAACAGCGCTCTTATCCAAAAAACATATGTATATATTTTATTCATAAGCCTTAATCATTGGCCGCTCCCTGAGGGCTAGTTAAGTTACTGGTTAAAGCGTTCGCTCGTCACGCCGAATAAATCCGTGTGAAGTCCATTGTTGTAGCCCCTGGTCAAGCTATTGTGGCGTAAAACAGAACTCACTCACTCACACAATGACTGTGGATATTTTCTTTCCTTTTGCCGTGAATCGTGGTAAAATTGATGATACGGCGTAAATGACGCTCACTCACAAATCCTTTTCGCAAACACTCGGTGACATTGCTTTTACATTACGGTGAATCGTAGGCAGACTCTTGAATTAATTGTTTCCATTTTGTTTGACGTGTTCAACATACACCCACCCTTCACCCACACCGCTCTAACCCTCCTTCCTACGACATTTACTTCCTGTTTTATAGTGAGTGAGTATGGTTTTACGCCGCTTTTGCAATATTCCAGCAATATCACGGCGGGGGACACCAGAAATGGGCTTCACACATTGTACCCATGTCGGGAATAGAACCCGGGTCTTCGGCTTGACGAGCGAACGCTTTAACCACTAGGCTACCCGACCGCCCCTCCTGTTTTATAGAGATGCCCGTTATATAGAGATGCCCCACAACGACAGTGTACGTTATTTATAGCCGGTTTCTGTTTTTGCCAGCAGGAAACGCGTATGATCTCACCTTTGACCCGTTCTCAACGCTGTGTTCGATGCTAACATGGGCCGCTCCCTGCATCACGCCAGGCATAAAACTTGCGTTCCGCGAGATCGTCCAAATCCGCCTGGAGATTTAGAAGAATGTGAGGTCTTTAAGAGGTATTGGTGGGGGCCAATAACTGTTGTATACACACAAGGTCTCTTTGACCCAACTCAACGTTACATCTCTGCTACATGTCTGCCTCCTTGGTCTGACGCCTTGATGTTTGTTGACAATAGTTTCTCAATTATTTGTCTTCAAGTTCCGTCTGGTCCTCTTCATTCACCCGCCGAGCGAACCAGTCAGACGCTTCCGTATATATGTGTTAGTTTGGTTGTTGTTGAACGCCGCACTCAGCAATAATAATAATAATAATAATAATAATGATGATGATGATGATGATGATGATGATGATGATGATGATGATGACGACGACGACAACAACAACAACACCTTATCCTGAATATGACTTTAGGAACCATTATTAATTAGTGAGGGTATTAGGTGTTCCCGAAACGATGAGCGAATCCTGCCCCGCACCGTGTGAAAAGATGGAATTGTATCGGGCATAATACTGGTCACATGTGCGTCAAATTTGGTAGTGTTCCCCCTATGTCAAGGTCATGAGTGCTGTAACCTTGATCAAACAACTTTTGAGCAAGAGCCGTATGACGCTTTTTGAAATCTCTGTAGAAGAGCATGTTTGATTGTATCTTGCAAGTTCGAATATTGCTCCACATCAAGGGATAGTTGACTGATCGGAAAGACAGCCACAACATATAAATTAAAAGATAGACACCGTTCCTGTTGATACTGTAAACTACCCAATGGGCACAATGTAACAATTATTTTGTCATCACCATACAACGTGATGCGTATGACCTTGACATTGTATACCTTACAATATATTATTCCATCGTACAATGTTCCTGGCCTCAGCTATCACCTCTGTATCTCCAGCTGAATCCTCAACATGAGAACTATATAATTATTCTTACAAGGTATCACAATTCTGTGACCGCTAACCATTGGTATATATCACTCTGTGATGACTCTGGAATAGTTAATGCTTGTTTGAAAGAAGACACTGCTCACGCGTGGGCAAAAACGATCTGATACAAAATATGCAAGATATTATTTCGCAATCTCAAAATAGGATGGGTGATCCAGATAATACTTTCTTGGAAATCATTCAGACGTTGTAATATAGCTGCATAACGATTAGCCATTCTCAGATGAAAGATTTGTTAGGACCACCTTTAATTTCAACCACACCGAAGGGCGGCACTATCTACCGCTGATAGTAGATAGTACAAGCCCATTCAGGAGCCTACACAAGTATTCATGTGGTCAAATCATCGGAAAGTCCAATATCGATCCCGCGTGTATTGATCAGGAAGCGGAACCCGTAGCTGATTTCCCGAGAGCTCATCGTTACATTACTGACAGGACGTTTGAGCTGAAACGGACGTTCTTTCACTGCTGCGTAATACGTCTGGTAAGAAGGATTTTTCTGCATCTGAAGTCACCAGGTTCATTGTTTATGTGGCCTGTGCGGCGTGTAGTTGCCTGTACATTCTCTTGACATGTGCTTATTTGAACAATTCGCTGTGACACTTTATTTCATCTTATCGTGGAGTGATAAGGTATTGGTAATCGGGCATTAATACCTGTAGGGATTTTGTGGTTGGTGGCAATATGACATTTCTTTTCATAGACAATTTTTTTGCATGCAGATCCTCAAAGCCCTAGGTTCTTCATAGGGGGCATATTCTTCGAAACCGACACAAAGGAATAATTTGTCAGATAATACGAAAATACTTATACCAAAGAATTGAAACGCGATATCGGTGATTTTAGCTTCTTTAAAAGTAGTAACTATATATAAAAGTTACAAAAGTATTTTCATTATCATAAGCCAATTGTACGATTGTACGATATCAAATAGTGATGATACCAGGCTTTGGTGTTCGGAACAGGGTGGGCGTTTCCTGTGTCATACATCAGTGTAAGGTAAAGGGAAGTCCTGTACCATGACCGTGGAGTATATTTATTTTATGACCAAAAAAAATCTAGAAACGCATACAAACGCAAGTCTAGCCAGCTCAAGCTAGCTCTATTCCACAATCAGCAGGGATTTAAAAAAAAAATACGGTCAAGAAGGATATTGTGTAATATAAGATTTCAGAGACTAAATGTTAGTCTAGGTAAAGGGGTCAAGATGTTTTAAAACAGTTGCTGTACACTGATGTATATGATATTAACCCATTAAGCACACGTGTCGATACCCAAATTAACCTTACATTAGTTTCGGCACTGAAACATGTCAACACAGACTCGTTAATCCAGATCCAATGTGGAGAGAGGCAAATATGGCAAGTTCACTCTCTGAAACGTTCGTTTATATGTTGAACGCTATTGAATACAAGTCATCAAATAAACATACTGTTGTCAATTAGAACCTCGCCCTGTACATGTGCATCAGCACTATTGAAACAATGAGATTCCACACTTCGTTCACTGCATGATGTGCCGTCGATCTCAAGTCATCTTGTTAATACGAAGACGTCTAATATCCAAGACAATATAAACTTTACCACCAACATGTAAATTCTGTCAACGAAATGAAGTCGTTATGCTAAGATTATCAAGATAATTAGGAGCAAGCACCGATATTTTTATTTTTTGCATTTGTGTATTTAATTAATTATTTTTGTCATCCAATTGTTGTTGGTAATAGTTTCCTTATTATTTTCTGTAGTTTTCCATATACCTTTAGAAATTCCTTTGCCTCAATAATTTACTCTTTAAAAAATAAAAGCAATACGGATATTTTATTTCATTGCCTGTTGCTGTATTAAATAATGTATTTATTTGCTTTATTTTCATTGTTACAGATTCAAAACTCACTCACTCACTCTTTGTTACAACTCAGCTACTTATTTACATTTTCACAACTATTCACGCCACATGATATCACAGATGCCTGCTATTACTGTTCTAAGCAACCAAAGCTTGTCGTGTTCCGTAAACACAGTACTTCAAATTACTTGCATATATCTACATATGTTAAAATGAAAAAACAACAACATTTGAACAAAAAGGTATCGGGTTGTTTGTTGATCGTGCGGTACAATAATGCTCCTAGTTTGTTGCTGTGGGGTGGTATCAGCTTGTTCAACTTCAGATAACATTTTGTGGCTTTACTCAAACCACGAGTGTCTAAACAAACACTGTCACAGCGCGTGAACACGAGCCTGTCGGCTACTCTGTAACCTGTTACTGTAACCTTCTTTTTGCACATTCAGCAATGAAAATACTACTACACGTTATTTTCACGTCGCAAGTTAAATCAGACTTGTATTTTCCAGAATTTCGTTCGAGTGTTTTGTGACACTATTCCATACAAGGTAGTCTGTCATACAGACCCTGAAACAAATATATCCAATATAGCCCATGCAAGTCTATAATGTTTGGCAAGTCTAGATTACTGCAGTATCTGAAAATGAAGAAAGCCTCTCGGCTGCTTTTTATTATATTTTTTTAACTATAATTTACCAACTGTTTTTCCTATGAAATATGTTCATTTCAGAGACTAGAGGTTAGTCCACATACAGGACATACGGCGTCCATGTGGTTCTTGTATAGAATATTTATCTTTTTGGTTCCGGAATCTGAATATTATGGTTAGTGATCGTCAAGCAGGTCCTACGATGGGTTATTGAGGTTCTTGGATTTGTCCGATCTGTACAGAGGGTCTCCAGTGCCAGGATTCGGTGAATCCTGGATACGTTGTTCCCTGTAGTCAGCTGGGACTTCCTTCCCTCGGCATACCGCGACTCTGGCTTTCATCAGAGTATTTACTTGTAACCTACATCAGCTGGAACTTTCTTCCTCATTATACCGCGACTCCGGCTTTCATCAGAGCAGTTACTTGTTACCTACATCAGACTTTTCTCCCTCGTCATACCGCGGTATAGTGGACATACGATCACAATTAAGAGACTCAAACCTCGAACTTGATTTATTCATGAATGTCAATGGCAAAATGAAATTCACGTCGATATCCGTTTCACTTCGGACATACAACAGGTGGCTGTATTTATCTCACCGACCTCTATCTCACGCAGGTCAGAAATATGTAGGTCGTTGTCTCTTCTCCATACATAGCTTGATGTTGATGATGATGTGTCGCCGACAGCAGAACAGCAACGACACAATATTCACACATCTCGGCGACCCTGCATCAATGATGGTTAATTACCCCGTTATTTACATCTGGTCAGCTGTTGTTGATGTTAATGAGGTTGACGTTGTTTTAAAAGACACACATTCCGGGATATAGTTAACGGCTGGTAACATCTGCTTGTCCCACATCTCATATCTATTCTGTATTTATAGCTCTCTATGTATCTAAAAATGATACAACCAACACATATGGCGTTTCGATAAAATCTATTCGAAACAGAGCTTGTAGAATGCCTATGGATAATCATCGCTTGTGACAACGGACGTACCGGAAAGTACAAGTATATTGCAAACTGATTTGCTAGCGAGTAATGCATCTATCGATAAACTACCTTCAACCAGTTAAATACATTTATGTAAATTATTAACTTTCTATTCACGCCTCGTTTATAATGATTGCTATTCAGACTATTTGATTTCCCTTCTCGTGCCGGAGACGATGCGACACCTCGCCACCAACTACACGGTCTTAAGTGCTGTTCCCACGTGTGTGGTATTTGAGTAACATTGCTCCCAGGCTGCACCGAAAGAAAGATCCGTGTATGTGTAGTAATTCTATCCTCCTATGAGTCAAGTCTACATTGTTTGACGGTACAAGGACTCCAGTCTCTTATAGGGACAACTTGTTCTTATTATTTACATAATCTAGAAAATATGATTTAACTAATAATAATGGCCTTAGAGACTTGTGCAAGTCTAGGTATTTGAGTTGCAGCTTCTATTTTAAAATGATCAGTAATTCGTATGATTGACCTGCCCGCGGTTGTGTCCTGGTGATCTTATAAATATTCGAATGTAAATGGTTCTTTTAGCGAGGGCTGCGAACGTATTATGTAAATAATGTACCATATTCTGGTATTCCTTCGCGTACTCATGGAGGTCAAGGACGCGGCGTGAAAGTGCAGTGTATAAAACCCACATGGTGTAATGCACTACCAGAGACCTCTTGCGTTAAACAACAATGACATGAACACATTGTTGGAACTCAGATGATGTTCTCGCCATGCCATGAATAACTTGTGTACGTATGAACCGTGTGTCTCGGAATATGGACGTGATGGAGGTGACTGATATGTATTCAGGAATGTGGACGTGATGGTGGTGACAGATCTGTATTTAGGAATATGGACGTGGTGGAGGTGACTATATTCAGGAATGTGGACGTGATGGAGGTGACTGATATGTATTCAGGAATGTGGACGTGGTGGAGGTGACTGTATTCAGGAATGTGGACGTGGTGGAGGTGACAGATCTGTATTTAGGAATATGGACGTGATGGAGGTGACAGATCTGTATTTAGGAATATGGACGTGGTTGAGGTGACTGATCTGTATTTAGGAATATGGACGTGATGGAGGTGACCGATCTGTATTTAGGAATATGGACGTGGTTGAGGTGACCGATCTGTATTTAGGAATATGGACGTGATGGAGGTGACGGATCTGTGTTTAGGAATGTGGACGTGATGGAGATGACAGATCTGTGTTTAGGAATATGGACGTGATGGAGGTGACAGATCTGTGTTTAGGAATATGGACGTGGTTGAGATGACAGATCTGTATTTAGGAATATGGACGTGATGGAGGTGACGGATCTGTGTTTAGGAATATGGACGTGATGGAGGTGACGGATCTGTGTTTAGGAATATGGACGTGATGGAGGTGACGGATCTGTGTTTAGGAATGTGGACGTGATGGAGGTGACAGATCTGTGTTTAGGAATATGGGCGTGGTGGAGGTGACAGATCTGTATGGAGGAATATGGTCGTGATGGAGGTGACAGATCGGTATTTAGGAATATGGACGTGATGGAGGTGACAGATCTGTATGGAGGAATATGGTCGTGATGGAGGTGACAGATCGGTATTTAGGAATGTGGACGTGATGGAGGTGACGGATCTGTGTTTAGGAATATGGACGTGATGGAGGTGACAGATCGGTATTTAGGAATATGGACGTGATGGAGGTGACGGATCTGTGTTTAGGAATATGGACGTGATGGAGGTGACGGATCTGTGTTTAGGAATGTGGACGTGATGGAGGTGACGGATCTGTGTTTAGGAATGTGGACGTGATGGAGGTGACAGATCTGTGTTTAGGAATATGGACGTGATGGAGGTGACAGATCTGTGTTTAGGAATATGGACGTGATGGAGGTGACAGATCTGTATTTAGGAATATGGACGTGATGGAGGTGACAGATCTGTATTTAGGAATGTGGACGTGATGGAGGTGACAGATCTGTGTTTAG